TAATTTAATACTCAGCACCTTTGTTAAAAGGCCATTCAATAAAAGTCCGGGTGAAACCTTAACGAAACAATAAAATCATCAGGGCTAAAGACTTTTAGGTTGAGCGTGGAGGGTGAGTTGGAATTGAGTCGTAGACTGACGAATCGACAACCGACCTGTTATTAGTGATAATAGAGGATGATCCTTGAAGGATCAAGCTGAAACTAATCCAAGTCTTTGAATCAATCGGCCAAGAGGATCTGTAACACATGATAGGCCAACCCCCAGGCCAAATCTATAAGTCAAATGGAGGATAATCTCCACTTCAGGATTTTACTCACCCACTCTAGTTAACTTAGCCTAAGTCTACCTCTAAGCAAGTGCCCAAGAAAATGTAGGCCTTTGGTAGAATCTCCCCCATACAGGGCCACCGCTGTTGGCGCCGCCACCCTTAAGGCTTCAGGGCATTTCAACAATCCAAATTCCGGAGATAAGAAAATATCAAACTAAAAGAGCAATCTCAATAACTAAGAGCTGAGAAGGGGAATGGACTTAGGGTTACCCTCTCAACCTCACTATCCAAAACGCTGTAAAGAGCCTTTGTTGCCTAGACGTGTTTCCCACCACGCACCCAATGGATACAACTCTAGTTTGCTCTTCACCGGGTGAGATCTGATGATTTCTGGTACGAGGACTGAAAGCCTGGTTGGCGTGTCCTTCATCTGTGGTGAGGGTAGGAAATGGATTGCTAGTGGTTCTGGTTCTTGTCCTTTTTCCTTTCGCTTTTTTTAATGGGAAGGCGAAAGTCGGAATGACGGTTTGGAAGGAATTTTGGGTGGGCTCGCGCAAGAGAGGAAGGGTGGCTCAGGGTGGTAAGTCTACTAGAAGGGCGGGGTGGGGCGACATTGGCCGGTGCTGGAGCAGTGGCTCTGTGACCAAGAGGAGCCTGAGGCCTTTGGAGTTATGCCGAGGGTGGAAGGCATAACTACCTCGTCCAACGTAGCTGATGCTGGGGCGCTGTCCCTGTAACCCGCAAGGGGTTTTGCAGCTAAGGAGGTTGTCGAGGGAGGAAGACACCTCCTGTCCGTCAGAAAATAGTCAGTTCGGTGCTGGGGCAGTTTGTGTTGCCTTGTCACCCTAGCAAGGGGGGTGTGAGAACTGGCGAGTTCTGGTACGAGGACTGAAAGCCTGACCGGCGGTTTCTCGCCTACAGTGAGGGTTTGAGCTGGATTGTGGTGGTTGCCGTAAGTCTTGTCGGAGTGAGGTAAAGAGGATTGATGGGGGGTTCCTGATGGTTTCTGAATTTTGTCCAATTCTGAAGTTTGTCGTATTAATGTGGACCCGCGTTCCAGCAGGTGCAGCTCCCCACCAATAGATTGGAGCCCCTAGTGATGCTGGTAGGAGTGGATGCTCTTATCAACACTGCTAGCAGTAATCCGTAGGTTTAAAAAAAAAAAAAAAAAAAAAAAAATCTCCTAAGTAGCTCCAATTTTCTCTTAGCCAAAGCTGGGTAATGGCCCCAGTATTTCATTTTTTTATTTTTTTTCAAACACAAGTCTCCAATCTATTCGTGGGGAGCAGCACGTGCTGGGAATCGGGCCCATCATCCCATATGAAAATTTAACAGATAGTTTGGAAATATGGCTAAGAAACAAAAACATATGCACAATTCAGAAAACGACTCAGACACCCCCAATCAATCCCCGGTACCCCACTCCGGCAAGACTTTCTTCAGCAGAGCCACCATCTCTGCTGCTGCAAATTTTCTAAATCAATGTAACTTTCCATATGGGACGCTGGGCCTGGTTCCCAGCACGTGTTGCTCTCCATGAATAGATTGGAGCTTTGTTCCCCCTCCCCCCCCAAAAAAGGGTCTCTCATATCATCCCTACCCTGTGAGTATTACCCTAAGCTACTGCAAACTTACCCCAGTGCTTAGGAGTATCAAGAATCTGTGAATTGATGGCGCCGCCACCCTTAGGGCTTCAAGGCCTTTCAACACACCAAATTCCGAAGATCTACAAAATATCAAACTAAAAGAGCAATCCATATAACTAAGAGTTGGGAGGGGGGGTAGACGTTAGGGTTAGCCTCTCAACCTCACTATCCAAAACACTGTAAAGAGCCTTTGTTGCCTAGACGGGTTTCCCACCACGCACCCAATGGATACAACTCTCACTAGTGGCGGTGGGAACGTTTCCCGGGTGCGATGGATAAAATACTTACCAGCCATAACTTCGTTCTAGCTGGGCTTTGTTCTCATCTATTGTCCGCTTTGATATTGAATGTTCACGTATGATTGAGATTCACAGACTCTCGATATTCTTAAGCGCCGGGATACGTTTGCAATAGTTTGGGGCGATACTCACAGGGTAGGGATGATATGAGAGACCCGGTGAAGAGCAAACTAGAGTTGTATCCATTGGGTGCGTGGTGGGAAACCCGCCTAGGCAACAAAGGCTCTTTACAACGTTGTGACGAACCGATTTCTGTTCCGCGCGATTTTCTGCGCGATAGCAACGAGGGGTCCTAAGCTGGGAAGGATGGGCCAATTACGGGAGATCGGGATTGAAGGGAAATTGCATCAGTGTCGTCGCTTCTTCGTCTTTTTACATCGTCTCTTTTCAGATGGCTGGGTTCAGGCCGGGCAAGTCCTGGGATGATTGATTGAGTGGCTGTCGCACCGACCAGGCGCGATTAATAACGGTTGACGTTGCCTCTTTTCGGTGCTGCTGTCGGATTTTAGGCGCGGGACCGCGTGGGAAGTTTGTTTCGTTCTTTTTGAATTTTCTTTTTGAATCTTGTCGGGCCCCAATGGCTGTCGGAATTTTGGATTTTCTTTTCGGAGATTGAGCTGGCCTCGTTGCAAAATAAATTTGAAAACATGGGATTTGTATCTGGCCCGGTCACCTATCTATAGCAGATCACCCCTAAACGATCGGTTCCAAGTGTGATTGCAAACGTACCCGCTCCCATGATGACAGTGCCCCCACCCCCGATCGAGAACCCTTCACGACCGAATGAGTCTTCCGCCTTGCTCGAACTAACCAAAACATTGGTTAGGTTGATTTAGGAGAGTAAAAAGGAGCAACGAGAACACAATGCTTGAATCGAGGCTATGATGAGATCGATGCGACCCATCGCAGTGCGTGCCGCGCCGATCCAACACGGATTGGGTCCGGCACAGCCTCCTGCCGGGATCCCGGGCAATCTGAATGTCTGCTATACGTGTCACCAACCAGGGCACACACCCGGGATTGCCCTCACCGACCCCCACAATAACGAGTCGGAGCCGCACCAGTAGCTGCAACACCAATCGCTAACGGGCCGGGACGGGTAGGAGCGTTGATGGAAGAAGTAGAGGGAAGCAGAACTGCGTTAGCATCAATAGAGAAGGCTGCAGAGCTTATCCCCTTGGATCAGTATGTAACACTGGGATACCCGGGGCTTGGGATGATCGACACGATTAGACCCGCGCCTGGACAACGAGAAGTGGCGGAGTGGCGACCTTCTCTAGGAGAGATGGAGTCGGGAGGACCCACCTTCGTCACAAGGGAAATCGATGTTCTAAACATCGTACAAGCCTTAGATCATCGAATCCCCCTTTCGATCGGCCATCTGCTTTCGATATCAGAACAAGCTAACGAACATATGCTGCAGCACTGCAAAGCAAACCGGAAACGATTTGCCCTTACCCGAACGGCAAACACGAAAACAAAAGGACCAACACCGGATGAAAATGCCGCAGGTACTGCCGATCCCATACGCATAGGATTAATCCAAAAAATGATCACTTCCAGCGGATTAAACCCATCCCATGGAAATCCGCGGAATGCGACATTGAGATATACAAAATTCCCTATAATGCTATCATCGATTCAGGAGCCGTTGTGTTGGCTATTTCATTACGGGTAGTGGAGAGGGCAGGGAAAAAGAGCGATATGATCATGCTCACAGAAAAAGATCAGCTCGTCTCGGCAGATGAAGAAAAAATCAAAACAGTGCGACGAATGACTAACGTTGCGTTTCGATTAGGGAAGGTGCATGCTTTGGGTGACGTCGTAGTATTAGATGTCAACACTTACGACGTTCTTTTTGGCCTTCCCGCCCAAGTACCACTACGAGCCAATCTGGACTTCGAAAGGCGATCGATTGTCCTCCGAAATACGGGAGGAAAACCCTATGATATACCGATGAGACTTACTCTTTGTACTACCGCTAACATAGCCCCACGAGTTTCTCCCGCGCTGACGGGGACTCTTCGTGTGATTACCTGGGACAACGGGCAAACATCCAAGGACGCAGATAGCAGCGATGATGATGATGATCCTGTAATCTTGGAGATGGCACAAGAACATATCCATTACCCCGTGCAACAGACCAATACTAAAGCCTTGAGCTGGACTGACCGAGATTTGCAAAGAACACAGGCTATGATTATGGGAGAACCTCTCGTATAGATTTCAAGGATGGTCGATCCTTTGGAACCCCCTCGAACCCTGTACGAAGGGATCTCCCCTCTTCTCGCCCAATACAATGACAAAAGACACTACCGGGATATCACTGATCTCCCGAAGTCTTTGTTGACACCCGCAAAAGAAATTCGATTGTTATGATTGAGGGCAGAGATCAACTCTTTGGAACCCCCTGAGCGCCTTGAAAACGGACTCGGGATCAAGATTGCAACGAAACCTGTGTCGTGGCAAAACGTTCGAGACGGGGTAACACCTGAAGAACACGTGACCATCCGAGAACAAGATGCACAGATGATGGCCACGGTGTTCTCCTGGCGATCAGATAACTCATTCATCTCCACGCCCCCGCCATAAAATATCAAGCGGGTGAATACAAAACACATCGATGCAAGGATATGGGATAAGTCGTATGAATTGCACGTACCTTGATATGTACCTGATGAGATTCACCACCTAATCGCATACATTCTAAAGGAGTACAAAGGAGCGATTAGTGTGACGGACACAGATATTGGATTGTCATTGGTCATACACCACGAGATCCAGACGGGAAATCATTCCCCGATTCACTGCAAACCTTACAGGTATTCCCTGGTAGAACGGAAGAAGGCTCTCAAGCGAATTCGAGAATTTGAAGCAAGCGGTTGGGTCGAACCCGCCATCGGACCATGGTGTTTTTCGGTAGTATTAGTACCGAAAAAGAATGGATCGATTCGCATATGCATCGATTATCGCAAACTGAATGACATCACGATCAAAGATGTGTATCCCCGCCCCCGGATTGATGATTTACTGGATGTGATTGGGTATGCTAATTCCTTCAGTAAGTTTGACATTCGGCACAACTTTCATCACATTCTGGTCAACGAGGAAGATCGACCGAAAACGACCTTCGTACTATTTGAGGGCACGTGGCAATGGGTTCGGTGCCCGATGGGGATCTGCAATGCGCCGGCCACGTTTCAGCGAGCCATGAACGTCTCCTTTCAGAACTTCGTTAACAAGACACGGTTAACACAGGGAATGATCAACTTCTGTGTCATTGTGTACATGGACGACATCCTGGTCTATTCAGAGACCTATCACGGCCATGTGCAGCATATGGAGTGGACGTTGGGTGCTCTGAGAGACGCCGGATTCAAGATTGCGCTCGAAAAGAGCGAATTTTTCCTTTCGGAAATTTCGTTCTTGGGTTACGTTGTGACACGTGGAGGACTGTGGCCTGACTCAAGAAAGGTCGCGGCGGTGAAGGAAGCTCTTGTTCCCACGTCACTGACGCAGGTTCGAGCCTTCTTGGGGTTAGCCTCGTACTATCGTTGCTTCATCAAGGGCTTCGCCGCGATTGCACGACCCTTAACAAACTTATTACGGAAGGACCAACCCCTCAGCTGGGACGCAAAGTGCGAACGGGCCTTCGCGACCCTCAAGGACGCTCTGGCAACGACACCTATTTTGATTCGGCGGACCCCGCGAAGCAGTTCATTCTCATCACGGACTGGCAACCGGAGGCTATTTCTGCTATTTTTGCAGAAGGGGAATGACGGTCACGAACACGTCATCGAATATGCTTCCCGCACGGTGCCAGACGAACGGAGAAATGATTCGGCCCCACAAGGCGAATGCTACATAGTGGTCTGGGGGATTCAACACTTTCATCCGTATCTGTACGGACAAAAGTTTCTCCTCGTCACCGATCACGAGCCCTTGCTAGCGTTGAAGCGACTCACTAACTACATGGGCATGATTGGACGTTGGGCAGTGCGCCTACAGGAATACGACTTCGACATCATCCATCGAAAGACGGAGAGGCACGACAATGCGGACGGACTGACACGTTCACACCGACCAGCTAATGTGCCTAAGGCGGAAGAGATCATTCCGTGGAAGGAGCCGGAATTGACGAACGGGCCCAAGTACGGACAAGTGGCAGTCCTTCCACGTGGCAAGAGGCAGGCATGTGGCAATGGGTGACGGAGGTAATCCTACAACCCCTCTCTCTCCTTTCTCCTCCTCATCTCTCCTTTCCCTACCTGATAAATTTTGTTATTTTTGTGAAGCAATTTCTCGCGTACATTCGGTCTCTATGCGCCCTAGCGGGGAAGGATATACGGAATGGATAGATTGTCGACAGTGTGTTGCACGAGCCCACGGCTCGTGTATCCAATACCGAAATGACAGTAAGCCTTAGTTGTGCCCCTTGTGTCGAGTTGATAAGATCCCGACCGAGGCTCGCTTTCTGGACGCTACGTCGAAAGGGTTGGAAAAGACCCGAAAGTTTAGAAGGGCCGAAGTATGGACGGATATCGCCTTGATTGCCCCCCTAGTGGGTAACCCCCTCCATAACTTCACCAAGGAAGATCGGAGGAGGGCCAATGAAAGGGCTCTGGACTACCGCTGGAATGAGGGATGGTTGGAAAAACGGAAAATAGATGGTAGTGGGATTTGAATGGTAGTGCCACACCCGTTCATGAGGTATGACTGGGTGAAGACAGCGCATGAAGAAATGGCTGCCCATTTTGCCGTACGGATCACGGAGGCCGCAATCAACAAAAATGAGTGGTATTGGTCCAATATTCGGGACGATGTGAAGTTCATCGTCGCAAACTGTCAGGTATGCTTTGCTGACAAGGCGCCGATTCAGCCACCAAGATCGATAGTACTGACGGTAGTTGAGCGGCTTTTTCAAAGGGTTAGCATGGATACCACCGATACTGTGGTGCCCCTGGACCCAATAGCTGTGAATATTCGATCCTACTCGTATTCGTGGACCATTTTTCGAAATGGATCGAGGCGTATCCCTGTTGTATGAGACAGGCAGCCGAAATTGCGCGATACGTCAATCGGTTTTTAGGGATGCACCAGGACACGGAGGAAATTCTGACCGATAATGGGGTAGAATTCAGGGGAGAAGTCATGAGGAATCTGGTCGTACACGACGTTGCTATTCGAAATACCGCACCCTATATGTCGCAATCTAACGGGCTGGTAGAAAATGCCAATAGGGTGATAAAGACTGCGCTACGACGCAATATCGCGTCGCGGGACCCGAGGCCTTGGCCCGATATCGTAGACCACATCTTGGCGGTACATCGTGGAACGCCTCACAAATCGACCGGTCTAAGCCCGTTCCAATTAAGGACCAATAGTGTGGCCTGCGTCTCAATACCAAGCCTCCTGGACGAATCTTCGCTGAACCGACGGCCCACCAGGGCCATTGTTCGAGACAAGGCCAAGCAACACATGAAATTGATGAAAAGGTCCCTGCCTCGATTGGCCCGAAAGCACCAGAAAATGACCAAGTTAGCCCATGGCCGACAGGTCCGTAGTTACGAGGCCCGGAACGGGAATGCAGGTCCACGGCGGCCCCGGTACAAATTAGGGGACTTGGTGCAGGTGAGGAAATGTGCTCGCCAAGGGAAGATAGCGCCACGATTCTTCGGGCGATTCCGAGTGATCGAGCTTGGACTGAACGGAGTGAACACCGTGCGCCTCGTGCCGGAAGTCTCGGGAAGCCGATCAGCGCAGCCGATCGTCCGCCACGTGTCTTACCTGCGTCCCCTCCCTTCCTCCCCATCTCCTGCACCCTCTTCCTCTTCCTTGGCTACGGAAGAAGACGACGACTCTCCATCGCTTTGTTCCTCCCCTGCATCTCTCGCCTTTTCCCATACTCCGTCCCAGCCATCATTGCCATGAGTTTTCTTACGGAGCGAGCTCTCGACGATCACCTACTAGCGCCACGATGCTACATCTCAGCGATTCGGCAGGTTCATCATCCGCGGTTCAATCTGGATCTTCTACGACTCGCGCAATTCTTCTGCGCTTCAGGGGTATACGCGGCAGTCGAGTTCCGATTCGCGTGCAGTCACCAGGTGGTTGTGCTGGCGCAAGCAGTAGCCATCCATCGGCGGTCAACTCCAGCGATCAGCCACGTGTCCACAGTTGTCGGCTTTAGCGGCGATATCAGCACGGTTAGTCCTCTGCGGCATACAACCATCCGGACGTCACTGAGGGAGTGGGGACAACAATTGGCAGCGGAGTGGAACCACTGGCTCACGCGCCACGGGGACAATCTTGTCCCTACGAATGACATCGATCTTGGTGGGATTCGAGTGTCCCAGCACGAGCCGGCGGTGGTGCTCGCAAAACTTATCCCCTGTCAGCATCCCCAATGAACCGCTTCCAACTCTCCACCTTCGCCGTTCCATCTCTCTTTCCCACCTTGTGGCAGTCCGATCTTCACCCTCGCTTCTCTTTCTGTCTGGAGCCGCTCGCTGTCCCCCTCCTCGATCCAGGGCAGTGGAGGCTCTGGTGTGAACACTTCGTCGATCTTTCAGTGTGCCTGGTCGGAGTGCAACTCACGTGGACGAGGGACGAAGAGCATCGCGCTTGGTTCGAGTACTTGGAGTTGCTGATCATCTAGGCTTGGAGGACGGACGTGGAGGGCGATCTTCTCGGATTCCTGTTCGGATCAATGTGGCCCGGCCATCGCTAGCTGATCGTGCAGGAGCTCACAGTTCCTCTCGCGCAGTTGGTTGGCGATCTCCCCCTTGAGATCGTCTCGCAGAGTGACGAGAGCCCGGTCCCGCACGTCCTCACACAAACGCTGACGCCGCACCTTCAGTGGTATGCACGCCACGTCAACGGCGTGAATAATCCCCTCCTTGGATTGACGAGAGCCCTCCTGAGGAATTTGTACGACAGAGCCCGTATGCCACGTTGGATGACGTCCACACTTCTTCACACGGTAAGTGGCAACGTAGAAAGCTCTGCGTGTCGATCGATTAGAGAAATCGACACGTGTCAAGATTCAAGCAAGAAGGAGCTTGCTTATGATTGGAACCCCCTGGGCGCCACATATGTGACGAACCGATTTCTGTTCCGCGCGATTTTCTGCACGGTAGCAATGAGGGGTCCTAAGCTGGGAAGGATGGGCCAATTACGGGAGATTGGGATTGAAGGGAAATTGCATTAGTGTCCTCGCTTCTTCGTCTTTTTCCATCGTCACTTTTCAGATGGTTGGGTTCAGGTCGGGCAAGTCCCGGGATGATTGATTGAGTGGCTGTCGCACCGACCAGGCGCGATTAATAACGGTTGACGTCGCCTCTTTTCGGTGTTGCTGTCGGATTTTAGGCGCGGGGACCGCGCGGGAAGTTTGTTTCGTTCTTTTTGATTTTTTTTTTTGAATCTTGTCGAGCCCCAATGACTCTCGGAATTTCGGATTTTCTTTTCGGAGATTGTGCTTTTCGTTTTTTTGCATTAGATAGGAATTTAGGAATTTTGCGATTAGGATTTTCCTTTGCCGCGCGGCGCTTTTTTCCTATGCGCTTCTTTTTGCGGGCGCAACGGAACTCGGATTAGTCGGCGCTCTTAATCGTGTGTGTAACTGTAATTTTGGGCGGGCGCCATTGTAACTGTATCTTTCTTCTTGAACTTTGTTTTTCCCGCTCTCGCTTTCTCCTACTGTGTCTAACCAGCCCGCGGACTGCATGCTCGAATCGATGTGTGGAGAGAGGGTACGTCCCCCACGCCGCGATCTAGCCATGCAGAACGCAAACGCTCTCTCTCCTAATCTCCTTTCTAAGTCCTTGCAATTCCATGTTCTTCTCGCATGCATGCACGCTATAAATTCCGGCTGCGCGATTAGATAGCTCTCTTAACAGCTGTTGGAAGCTCGGGGTAGCGCGATCAGTGAGGGTCGGCTCACGAGCGAAGTAAGAGGTGAGTTAGAGTGGGAGTCGGGCGACCCGACGAGCTGGTGCCAAACGCGAGGGGGTGACGCGGGCCACGACGGACTGTGGGCGCGAACGAACCTGACGGGTGCGGGAGGACTAAGCGGGGTGACGACTTCGTGGGTTGGTGCATGACGACGGACTGTCCGCATCGGAGAGGGAGAGAGAAAGGAAGAGGGAGTTGAGGTTGACGGACGTGGATTTGCAGTTTTCTTTGTCTTTTCTCACTTTTTGCTTCTTTATATAAATTTTGATCTCACGGCGACTCGCTGTCGGCGGGAATACCCTTACAAGGGTATCCGCCCTGGTTTTTGCAAATGACAGAAAAGGGCTTGTTTGAGTTTTAAGTATACCGCGCGGGGGAGCGGCCTCGTTTGTGGTTTATATTGACAGGATGGTTGTCCAGAATAGAGAGGGTGTGTGGGCGCGCAGTTTTGAGGCGCGCGTAATCCTTCTAATTTTTTTGATTGATGGTTGCAGAAGTCGGCGTAGTTGACCGGCCGGGTTTTTATTACCGATTAGACTAAGGGTTAGAAGGGGTTTGACTTTTGTTTCATACACACGGCCGGTGGTAGGTCTGGCGTGCGGAATGGCGCGCGTGGCGGTCTCGGCACGTTTTGGGAGGGCCGGTGCGGATGCTTGGCGGCCGCACGCGTCATTGTAGGTAGAGATGAGGCCTAGAGCGCTTTCTCGGCCTTGAGCGCTGGGCCGCACCGCTTTAGGAGGGGTTCCGTGGTTGCTAGTCCCAGACTTGGGCGTAGCCCTATAGGTTGAGGCATTGGACTTGTGTAACGGAGGTGCGGGGATCGAGGCTAGCAGGCATCGGCGCGGGAGCGAGGAGCAGCGGAGCAGTATGGAGGAAAACTGAAGGGTTGAGGGCCGGATGGGGCTCTCCCCCTCAATTTTGTTGACAGGCATGATGGGGGGCCCGACTTGCGGGATTGGCGGGGGCGCCAACAGTCCCCCGCCTCCCATTTATAGTTTTGTATACCTGTTTCTATATTTTTATTTCCACTTTTGTTAATAGTCCCGTTCCACCTTTGAGCTTGGTGTCGAGTCCGAGGTCGGCCGCAAGCTTAAGAGCCTGGCTCGGTGGGTATACCCACAAGCTGTTGGGGTGTAGGCCCAGGCTTAGGCCATGGTGGCACGAGGTAAATAAGGTTGAAATATTTTGGCCTGCATGGGGCCGTTCGAACCCTAAAAAATCATGGAGCACTGCCCCGTGCAAGTCCTTCGGGACATCCGTCAAAAATAGGGACAATACTGTGGAGATTCATATGGCCGCGGCGTAAGGATCGCACGCGAAAGTCCGGGAATGAACAC